AGATAGGTATGAAATTATCTATGGAGAGCTCCCGCTCATTCAGCCGGGCTGTAACGACCCTATTTATTAGTGTAGCGTGTATGGAACTGCCTGAGCAAGTGATGCTACTTTCTAATATTTTGTTATATGTGCTCCTTGCTACTAGATGTTTCGGGGTTGGGCTTTTTTTGAAGAGGTTTTTTTTACTTATCTGGCAATAAACAACTCCCCTCCCTGTTTTTAAAGTGTTTATCCTATAGCGAGATTAACGTAGGGATTTCGGGTCATTCTTTGGTCATAATCGTATTTGATCTTGTCTTCAAGCGCAGCTTCAACGCTGTAACAGTATTCAACCTTTTATCTAGGAATAGAAGAACAATAAAGCTTTTATCTTTGGGGTTTTAAAATGATTGTCATGTTTAGTTTGTGGTGATTTAACCAGAACTTTTTTCTGCATGGGGTTCTTAAAGGAAAATTAACATGAAATTATATCAGTATGTTTTTATCTGTGGGCGGCCACTCGCCATCTCAGTTGCAATCAAGTTCGCATATATTGTTGAATCATGTCCTTTATCTTAAGATTACTGTCAACAAAATAGGGTGCCTTCCGGACAAATCGTCCCACGTGCGCTACTTTTAAGGAAACCATTAAAAAAGCTGTGGCGTTCCAACACCGCCAAAGTTTTATTCAAACATAGAAACATTAACTTGTATTTTGCAATATTAACTGTAAACTTTCAACTTGTGATTCAAACATTTATATAAGCCTTTTGAAATCCAATTAGAACATTTAATCCTATGCTCCAAACACACAAATAGTCTGCTAAAACTTTCAATCAATCAGGTTTAACCACAGGCAGCCCAAGTTCTAGCTGTGATACGATCATCTTACGAAATAAGAGTCATGGTGAAATTATAAGAGTTTATATAGGAATATTTCCGACCGCTCTAAGGAATAAAAAATACGTCAGTTCTCACAAAAAATACCTCACCTTACTTCCACGGTGCATTGCTTGTTATCTAACATGCAAAGATGCAATTCCAACACTTAGCGCAAACAATCAGTGCAAACATTCGATTCAAACATTCAATGTAAACATTCAATTCGAACATTCACTGCCAACATTCAATTCGAATATTTCACGCAAACATGCAACTTGGCAATATTCAGTGCAAATATCATTCCATCTATGTTCACTCCGTGTCCTGGGGCCAACATCCTGGGACTTCTGAAATCCGAAAGGCGCGGGAAACCAAATTGCGTTTTCTTTGCTTTTGGAGTGCTTTGTACGTGTGGCATTAACTATTTTGCGATTTTTACAGCACTTCAAAGCTAAGTTTGAGAATGTTTATTGCTCAAGGTCAAACTGGGCAGGGGTTGGATTGCAGTTGTAGGCGTTTATAGACCTCCATCAATTCCGAAAAATCAATGGACTAGAGAGCTTTCATCTATTTTCGAAGAAGTCTCTACACTTACAGACTGTTTTCTACGCTGGAGATTTCAACGCCGATCTATTGAATCCAGACAAGCCTCCCAAGGACGGCAGAAATCTTTTAGACCTGATGGAAATCTTTGGTCTTGATTGCTTGATTACAAAA